ACTTGCCCCCCCCCACTTTTAAAACTGGTCCACCGCTGTTGCCCAAGGTGTTCCCACGTACAGGAACACTGGAATTGAAATCTAATGTCTTATGGAGACCTAGGAGAAGAGGCTGAAAAGATCTCCAAAAGACAGTCCTGAAGATGATTAGATCTCCACAAGGATTTCTGACATAGATATTTGGAAATTACTCAAAAAGAAGGAATTTTTAATGTGTCATTATTTGTAGCAAATGGAAGTATGCTAAATAAGGGAGATCAGAGTTGGCTGAAATTTCAACCGAGGAAAGTACCTTTGGTTTCAATGGGAGCATTTTGAAGAAAGTGTTTCACAATCAAGTATTTTACTGCACGAGAACAAAGCATTATCCCTCCAAGGATACAAATTTCGCGCTAACCTTACATACCTAGTGTGGACTTGTGACATGTGTGAACAAAACATGTCCACACGAAGCAGGAGAGGAAGACATTCTGTGGACTTACATATGTCTACAGGACGTTTCCCCTTCTCTGAAAAAGAAGTTTAGCGGCATTTTGGGGTTGGGTCATCAATCGTAAAAGGAAGAGGAATAGTCAAGGAAACCTTGTACAAAAGGCCAACTGAAAATGGTGTTCCTACTTCAAGAAAAACAAGTATTTTCACTGAGTTTTCTTAACTGCAGGAAAAAAATGGAATGTCCACACTAGGCAGGTAAGGTAAGTGTGTGTGTGTGTGATAATCTGTGCGTTCATCTTTCTTTGAGCTCAAAAGTACTTGTACATGTTTACCCAAATCATTCCCTTTCCAATTACAAGCTTATCTCACTCAACATATTTTACTTTGAAGAGACAGCTGAGCAGCATCAAGAAGGGGGGAAAGAAAGCATGGAAAACTGGACTATGATCAAGAGCAACGTGCAAACCAAATAGTTTTAGTCAAGAAAACATTCCGTGACAAGAAGTATGCCAGTGCCGTAGCCGTCTCGATGCGAGAAAAAAAGAGTTAAGCTCGCATCCTTGCATGTGTTCAGTGTGATACCTCTTCACGATAGCATGGTGTCTTCATTTATCCTTCACTAATCATTAAAAAAAATCGTTCCAATTTTACTGGTCCTTTCAGTATTTCTGGGAGTTTTTCTGATGACTCACCCAAACTTCCTGATAAATCTGGTGTATATCGAGCGGATTGGTACCCTCAAGTTTCGACGGTTTGTGTTGCCCATTCTTGCAATGTGTAAGATCTGTTACAGGAAAAACAAATAAAAACTTTTTAAAAAAAGAAAAGAACTGAACTCTGTGGTGTCATTTGACATCAACTTGAACTGGAATAAGCAAACTGGTGAATGAAGCACAACAAATATTGACTTTCAAAATCTTGAAATTTACATCAAAGTGCACTGGGCAACACAAGGGGAAGTGTTACAGGGAAGCTGTTTCTGTCCAGCAGTAAGTTACACACTGTGTGGGCTCTCACGTGTACCAGTGTTAGTGGTATTCAGGCAAAAACTTACACGTGCATGGCTTTAATATGTTACGTATAATTAGTTGAAGGAAGCCTAGAAATTGGGCTGCTGCCAGCGGGGACTTCCATCCCTGTTTGTGTCATCTTCCAAATGGGATGTAGAATTCACTTGTCAAAATGGAAGTCTGCCACGCACAGGACGATACTGGGTACATGTAGTAAAAGGATGTGGGTTTTGAATTGGTGTGAGATCTGAATTATGAAGGCCATATCCACCAAGATTGCATTTGGAACGTGTTTGAGTTCACACCCTGCAAATGATCCTGTCCATTCCAAATGCCAATTCACATCCTGGTGTGCTCCGCAGTGCCAGACACCACGCATGGCAATTCGACTTGATATTCCTGAAGTTTCCAATCATGGCTATGGATAGATTTATATTTCACTTAGCACAGAGTATTTGTAGACGGAGAGAAGTAATCTCTGGTCATCCAACAAAGTAACAAGGACACATTAGGAATCCTGTGGGATAATATATTAATGATAATGATTATGAAGCAATGGAAAGTGAAGAACAGAGGGAAAGAACACTGTAATAAGGATGTTCACGGCGAGAATCTTGGCAGTGCAATGACGACAATGGTATTGATTGAGAAAGCCACGTCAACAACTGTTGCTGGTGATTGATGATGAACTGAACAGAGAGGACATAGAGACATTAATGAAGATTAGAAAACATCATGTGATGCCTGTGGCAATAATACTGACAAAGATCATCTAAGCGGGCCCTCTGTGTGAAAATCGTATAATGAGGAAATATCTTAGTTGTCATCTCACTTACCAGCTGTTCCACATACTGAGCCAGCGTGACATCTTCCAAAATTGTAACCAGAACCTTGACCAAGCCCAGGGTGGGGCTGAGAATCTCCCTGGCCTTGGACTGTAGAAGGGTACAGACTCCCTCCACCAGTTGGCCCAAGAATGATCCTTGGACGACATCTGCAGAAGAAAAAAAAACAGAAAAGTTGGTACATGTGAAGGACTAGCAAGATTTTGGAAAAGTGATGTGTGTCACATTCTCAGCCGAGCTGACATGCTGTAGTCAAGACCTCACAAGTCTACATGTAGCTTACATACCAGTCCATCGCATCTCATCCAGTCCTGTAAGACAGTCAAATCTAAAGCTATTAAAATTCACACTGACAAGGGCATTCTTTTAATTGTCACTGTTGGTTCAGGTTTTGATTGGGAAGTTGCTTTTGATCAGACTTGAATTTTCTTTGTCACTGTTTGACTTGCGACTCTCCCAAACTGTATGGGGGGGGGAGGTTATGGGCAATGGCACCAAGCACCTTTCAAAAGTCGGAGGACATAAACTAGATCACTAACTAATGTGAGAGCGATACCCCATTTGGAACCAGGAAATTTCTGCAGTGCAATCTGAGGCAATTTCTGACCTCTTTAGCAATTTTTGTAGCCAACTCTTCTGCAAGATTTCTTTTTGTTTCTCTTCACACCTCACTGCTCTCTACACACCATATAAGCTGCCTCATCTCCGGACCCTGTGCAGTCTCCTGACGACGGACAGAGCACACTGTCTGAAATGCTGAGTACCACTGGCTCTTTTCAGAACCCCTACATACTCACAAAAGAGATATATCCATGGTGCTACCACAAACCTACCTAGTTCAAAATAATTCTTATCATTGAAAATGATTTGTGCGTAAGTTCGGAATCATTTTGTTCGTCATTGCCACTTTTCCCCCTAAGAGGAAAGATTTGGCATATACTCTGAAATATGAATCAACTGTAGGCCTACTTCCCCTACATTTTCATTTAGGGTCAGGAAGAAAAGTGAAAGCGGGGGGGGGACAAACATGATATTCCCCCTCCCCTTTAAAAAGTATGCAGGGGGAAACTAGTTTATTGAAATTTTAAACAACTGCAAAATTGCACATCATTCAAAAAAGACTGTACCAAGAGCATTTCCCCTGCATGACTGCTTCAGCAGAAAACCATCTTCATTCTTCTGAATGAAGTTGAGTTTTTACTGGTGTGTTACCATTCATTTCCCATTGGTGGCTCCAATGAACACTGCAATTCTGGGCAAATGTCCTGTTCAAGGAGTTTTTCATTGGCATTCTCCAAGTTTTTTTTCCTGGGGCAGTTTATTCTAGCAGGAATCAAATACATCAATAAAGGCCTGCCAGTGGCAGGACATGGTCAATGATGGTATTGTGGAGCCAGTAATGACCGATGCAACAGACTACTGGCCATTTCACATCAGCTAGGGCATAAAAAAAAAGACACAGGGTGTATCTTTCTTAGTTATTGATGTGTTGAACAGATGGTTGCCTGTATGTGGAAATGTGGGTCTTTTTTTTCCAAAAGGTGCAAAGTTGGACAATAGCTCTCCAGCCTTTTTTAAAAACAATCATTAAAGCCTGGTTTCCATATCGATGTGAGGCAGAGACCAACTCAATCATGATGCAAACTGTAACAAAGACAAATGGAAACATGTCACACGAACCAAAGTGTCACCACACACGCAAACCAGCCCCAGACGGATTGGCAAAGTTGAGCCCGGTTCAACTTTACCAAATGTCTGCGTCAAGTCGCTGAGTAGGCCTATACAAACATGCACACTGACATGACGGGTGTACAACGATGTTTCTCTCACTTAGTACCACCATTTTGTTCATTTTCTCCTTATTACTAGCATATACAGCCCCAATCATCAACAAAATAGCTCACCATTAACAAATTATATCAAACTGAAGTACCGAACATGTATCAGTTACGCTTCAAGAGGCAACATTGCCACCTAAAAGAGGCATTTTGGGGCAAAAATTTTCTGAGTTTGGGATGCCATTTTGTTAATTTTTTTTTGGGTGGAATGAGTTCGCACAGCATCTCTTCTGCGAATGTCTACATCCTTACGTCTTGCGGACCGTCTGCGTTACAAACGACCATATGGAAACCAGGCTTAACTCTTATATCAAGGAAGCAGATCTCTTCGAACACATATAATTCCCTCAAAATTACTGACAGCCCTGGGATATGTTTTTATTCTTACTTAAGTTGTTCTAACATACCTTGACACACATTCCAAAATTTGTATCCTTGTGGAGACAGGGCTTTGTTCTCCACGTGTTTCGGAATATGCTGCCTTGTGGAGACCCAGGAGAATGGGTTGAATAGGTCTCCACAAGGAATTTCTAAAGGTGTATACATGTAGGTCTTCACAAGGATTTCATGATATCTGATATTTGGAAATCGCTCAAAAAGGAGAAATTTTTAATGTGTAAGAATCGTCACAAATTGAAGTGTTTCATATAAGGGACATTCGGTCAAAACTTCAGCCCAGGAGAGTAATTCATGTTGAAATGGGAGCACTTGGAAAACATTGTTTCACACGCGACCATGTTAGTACACCTCATACATGTACTTGTAGACAAATAAGTGTATGTACATGTACGTTCTAACTTTACATTGAGAATGGAAATTACACAAATTAAATTGAATAAGTTAATATAAGTTAACTGAATATAAATCAAATAAAGTAAATTGAGAATGGAAGAAGAAAAACCTATGGAAAAAGTGGGAGTGGGAACACCCCCCCCGTTGAAACATTTGACATAAATTACCACACCAGGAACTGTGCCACGATTATCAAAATAAGAAAATGCCTGTTCCAGAAATAGAATCCTACAAATTGTCATTCATCATTATCAACTTTAGCGCTGTGAGCATCGACTGTTCGACGGAAGGTTGCAAGTGTTGCTCAAAATGTGGCATTCAAAAGCACTCATTAGAATGAATACTTGGTATGGCGGCAAAATTAATTTGTGTTTGGGGTTATTCACAGGAGCTTCTTCCAAGAAAATAGCCATCTGCATGGAACTGAAAAGTAGGCTACTTGGGGATCGATTTATTTGGAGATGGCACTGTGAAAAATTTGTAGGTCTTCATTATATAAAATTGAAAGCAAAATTGAAGACTGTATATTGCTTTCTTTGCCCCTTTGGTTTTCAACAGCATGAGGTATTTGATGAGAAAAGGTGCGTACCATACCAAGAAGATACTGGCTTGCCAGCAATACTGGTAGTTGAAAAACACGGAAATGAGCTGCCTTTTCTACCTGTACATGTGGCTTTGTGAAACCCCAGGAAAAAAGCTGACATTTGAAAAGGATTAAGGGAAGACCGTGGAGTTGATCCTGTATACAGGAAATAACAGGTAATTGAACAACCCATAGACTTGCAGAGCTGATCCTGCCGAGCACAATGTACCAGTGCTTGTACTGATGATGTGCTCTAGAATGGCAAAAATCTTATCTAGAACCTGTATGCTGCTGATCAATGAATGTGTTGGCCTGATTCTGAGAGTAGAAATGTTAACTAGTCCATGCACAGAAAGTTCATGATGCATTGAGTGGAATAAAAAGCAGAAAAGGCAAATTCTGTCCTTTTTAAGACTATTTTGTGAATTTTAACAAATCCTGCTTCCAAAATTTATGATAACTACTGCATTTACACAAAATCAGTTCTTGCTCTTTTGAAATAATTGTAAAAATGCCAGTGAAATAAAGTAGATTACTTTTATAATTTGAGGGAAAAATGCATATTTATTCTAAAATTGCAAGCCACTCAGTAATGCAATTATCTATTAAAAACTGCTACAAAACTGTTTGCTGACTACAGTGACCAGAAATAGGGAAATCAAAGAAGTTAGAGGCCTGCCAGCAGAATTCTGTACAATTCACTAGCAGGAGATTCTGATTGGGCTTAAACCTTCACCCTTCAGGCTCCACTAACTTTGTATAGATTTTTGGCAACTTATTCAAGTAAATTTGCACAACTGATAAGCTTTGAAGCACGGTTATTCATTTTCAGTTGGTTTTGAACTTGGCTTTTTTTGTGGTGACCTGCACCTTGTAAGGAAAAAACCTAAATGCAAATCTGGCCTGCATGCTTGTTGAGTTTGATGTGTGCATGTACATGACGTACACAGAACTACAGTATTTGCATCACTGCAACTTTTCAGCCTTGGACACATATAAAAAAAAAATTGTGGGCTTTTGTTGTACATGTACTATTACTGCAACATGTCCTGCTACGAAAGAAGTGTTTGATCACAAAACAGTTTGGCTAAGTTGTTTAAATTTAAAGTCACAACCATGTAATCAAATTTTGACATGTACAGAGTCTTGCATCATGATTTCTGATTACAAAAGTCAATTCAAGGCCTACATGTGGGCATGCAGTGTTTGGCAATGAGAGATTTCTGAAACCGTGAAAAGAACAGGAGATAGATGTCAAGGACTAAATATCTGACGTGTTTGAAGTGCTAGTAGAAAGAAATAATCAATTCAACAGGTAGTGATTAACCATGTGTGGTACCTCCATTTTGTCCACTGGGTGATATTATAATTACTGTTATCTCTGGTTTTGCTGGACTCAACTCTCAATTCATAGTTTTGTTATACATGTATTTGAGAAAACTAAGAGCAGAGAGAGAAGGAAAACGTAACTTCTTTAAAAAAAAAAAAGGAGGGACACATTTTGAGTTGAAGTTTCTTGCAATATCTGGGAATATTTTCTATACCGATGGCTAATATTTAAAAAATAATAACTGATCAATAATGCAGGAGATCAATTATGTGGGTAATCAATAATGCAGGTGATTAATAATGTAAACCACAGCAATTCAGCCATTCAGAATTGAGGCAGTAACTTTGATAGGTTACAAAGACCCAGAGGGGACATGAAGACTTTTAAACGTACATACCAGTACATAACTATTACAAGACTTGATGTATCAACTTGACACTTTATGAACAGGGCCCTTTTGGGTACGAGAAGTTAGCACATCTATTTTTGCTAACTTTTTTTAATTGTAGGCAGCATGTCAATTTCAAAAAGTTCGTAAGATAAATCCAAGGAGGAATAATACCATTTTAGAAAATGTGGAAGCAAAAGCAAAATGTCACAAATATT